AACCAAAACCACTTGATAGACCTGCCATGATTGCAACTGCTGCAAGCCTGGAAAGAAAGGAATTAAGAACTGAGCCAATTAGAGCTACAGGTTTCTGGCCAAAGAAATGTCCTTCTGCTACCTGTGAAGAGACTAATTCAGAGACTTATAGGAGAAAAACCTGAAGCAGACTGAACATTGGGGAGCTGGTGGAAAACACCTCTCTAAGCCCTCTGTTTTATGGCCAGAGGGCTTTGCTTAGCATCTGGCATCTGTGTAGTCCCACTGCAGTGATGGAGGCTCACATGCCGTATAGATCCAGCTGCTCACTTGGGCCTATCTCTATTTTCAACCAGCTACTTCACTCCTCTGTTTTTATTGGCATGATTTTTGACAGCAAGCACTAGTGCTGGATCAGCCATTTCCTGCTAGTGAGTGACCAGGTGGCAAATGTTTCATTTAAAGTGCCCCAAAGGTGATCTGAGCTGCTGTGCGACAGAACATCGGTAGATCTGTGACATGGTGTGCTGTGAACAAAGCTCCATCCAGCTCCCATTAAAATAAACTGAACCTGAAGAGGCTGCAGGGAGAGACCAATGGGGGAGAAAGCAGGTAGAAGGCTTGATGTATTCCTATGGCTGCTTGAAGTAAGTGGCACAGAAACTTCCGTACATTTTCTACTCTCTTTCCTTGCTCCTCAGTCCAGCTGGAGACCAAAGGGAGGGCTCTGTCTGCCCTACTCACCCTCCCACCTCCTTTGCGGCTGCCTCCAGCCCTGCTTGTCCAAATGCCTCCTTCATCTTAGGTTTTCAAGTTCTCTGGCTGGTCCTTTCTTCCCATGCCCACCACCAGTACTTTGGGCAAAGAGCCTCAAGCTGTACCACGTAGTTAGCTGGTGCTCCACGAGGCACCTGATCACATAGCATTTACTCTTCTCCTTGTTTTCCTCTGTTAAAATCATGCTAAAAGCGTGTAAAATGACCTTCAGTAGTTCCTTTTACTTTCCCATGCTATAACTGCCACAGAGACGGTACAAAACTGTAATAGGAGGAAGGAAGGTAGTGCAAGCAAATCATGTCCATCAGGTGGCCTCTGTATGAAAACACAGCCCTGAGCTGGATGCAGCTACTGTGTGGTTTGGGGAAGTGGGGGCTAGAGGACCTGTGTCGCGCCTCTGCCAGGCGGCTGGGGCTTGACTCCACAGCAGTTAGCCCCCCTGGATCAAATTGCCCTTTGCAGCATGCTGTGAAGACATTTCAGACTCCCTGATAACTGTACTCCAGGCTGAGTGACGTGAAACATCCCCCTCCACTGCACGTTCCCAGATTAAAACCTCACATCAAATACAGGTATCCCCAGTTCTTTTTACCAGGGAAAGAAAAAAGAAAGATAATAAACCTCACAATTAAAACAGGTTTAAAAATTTATATACTATATTCTGAAAGAGACAGACAAGAAAGCATTATATGTGATGTATTTGCCAATAAATGTGAGCAGAGAGCCAAGGTATTGAGGGTAGGGGAATGGACTGGCAGCAAAATCCTTGAAATGTTACTGCGAGTGCTAACAGCTGAGTCTCAGTGAAGCCCCGTGGCCAAATTTACCTGAAGCTTTGGGGATATCTGAATGGATCGATCTTTCTTAATGGCTGCGATCCTGCCTAAATCCCTCCTTTTTTGCACACCTAGAGAGTGGGAATGCAGTCTGGGTTTGTCAATTTGCACTTTTCTCGAAAATAAGGCACTCTAAGGAAGAGCTGATCCCCAGCAGTCAGCAAGCTGGCCCTCCTACTGTCTGACTCCAGGGCCCTAGGAATGGTTAAAGCCCATCTACTGCCAGAGGACTCTTGGGAAGCCCCAGTCACCACACATGGCAATGCCCATTCAAGGAGGGATCCAGGGAAGGCTACGCTACTGGAGTCAGGTGTCTCTGTGCAGTTCAAGTTCACATCTAAACATTTTTCAGGACAGGAAAGTTTCTGCTGTGTTACCAACCCTAAGATGGATACCTTCAGCAGAAGTGGAGTCACTAGGCTAGTCACAAATGCAAACAGAGCCTTGTAGAGTCAAGTTTCACCTTTCTGAGGGCTTCTGAAGATCACCTCAGACCTGTACACAGTTTTAAACCCCCAGTGATTTCTGTGCTGTAATCCCGAATGGCATCACTCACTGGTGGCTCCAGACACCAGGCCACATCATGTCACAGTTCTGATGCAAAGTAGGTAAATGGCCAAGTGCACAACAGGCTTTTCCTAGGAAGGCAAGAACAGACTGGGCACAACAGGTAAAATGGTCCCAACAAGTGTTTGGTAAGCAGATCTAGCCCTGCTGCTAATGCGCTTAACAACGAGGGAGGACTACAGGTAACCAAAGGCCATTGGTGGTTCAAGCTCTCAAGAGACCACATGCAGGAAGAGCTGAAACATTTTCACTGTAGCAGAAGAGACGTGTGTCAACCTGTGATGAGGAACCCAGTCCTCCCACACTGGCTCTGTAATGATTAGCTTCACCTTGGCAGCAAAGAGGGAGAATCAACTCAGGGCAAATAAAAGATCTTCATCCATCCACATATAGCAAACCTGAAAGATCATGGGGCTCAGAGGGACTGGGCTTTTGGTCACTGGCATTTTTGGTCACACAGCATTTACAATCTGACCATGACCAAAGCTACCTTGGGGACTTTAGACTGAGCTACGTATGCAACACCCACAGAGGAGGAGGAAAGGTGGCTCTACTCCGGCTCCTCCTCCACTATAAAGCTCGTCCCAGGACCAAGCCTGAATCAAGGCCCAGGAAAGGCCAGCCTGCCAGAGCAGCTGCTGGTGCTTCAGAGGAAGGTGTGAGGCATGTGGGCAGAGAGTGCTGAAGAGGAGGCAGCTGTGGCTGAAAAGGGGTATGGTGTGAGGCACTCAGCCCCTCGGTTAGCGAGGTGTGTGACTGGGTTCTCGCTTTTTCCTTTCTGCGGTTTGCAGTGCTGGCTCCTGCGATGTAGACATCTTCGGTTTGTTGTGGTTTTATGTGAGTTTTTGTTGTGGGGTTTGTAGTGTGGGTTTTTGTCTTTTTTTCCCTGTGATAACTAGAGATGAACTTGCAGCCTGTGAAATTTGGGCAGTTTAACACAGGATGCACGGGCTGCGCAGCTTGATCCACTTCTGTAAGTAAGTATGTTTGCCTCCTGCTAAGGTGTTTTAACCAAGGCCAGTGGAAATAAACGCTATGGCCAGGCAGCTTGGGACAATTAACAGAAAATGTAAAGCCAATTTGCCCAAGCTGATCAGATCAGGAAATGACAGCCTTCGCAAGTCTGCGGCTCTGAGGAAGGAGATGTCTTTCATCAGGAACTTTTGTAAATTCTCCCTCGGCTGATGCAAACCAGCATAATTGTACTGAAGTCTGGGAGAGACGCTGGTTGATCGTGGGGCTGCGTGCTTGGGGTATGTGTGCCAAAGGATTTTGCTGAATTTATTTAGCATCCTGATTAAGATTTTTTTTTAATATCCCTGCAACTGTTCTTCTCCTGGTATTTTTGATGATGTTAAGAAAGGGAATCTGCTTGTCCAGATGCTATTTATTGTGTAGTTGCTGCAATGCCTTTTTGCCAAGGAGCTGGAAACTACAAAGGTCCAAGTGAACACTGTGGATATCCACAGTGTGAGAGTAGTTCTCCACCAAGGTGAAAATCTGTCTGACAGGCTCAATAAGGGCACATTTGCACTCTGAGTTAGGTGACAAAGGCTGGTAGTGGAACCCCCTGAAATCAAAAGGTGTTTACTATAAATGCAGAGGCCTGTGTTAACATGGCCCAGTGCAGGGTGACAGTTTTAATTAAGCTGGATCTGGGAAGGCAGGGTGTTTTTTCTCAGCTGAAAAGTGTTTTGGCTTCCTTGACAGGAAAAGATTTTGCAGTTTAAAAAAAAAAAACCAAACAACCAAACAAAACCTGTCAGCAACCAAGGCACCTCTTTTTGGCTTTATGATCATTGTGCAACCAGGCTTAAATGTTCTGGGAGCAAGTTCCATCAGCTTGTTTCCAGCCATGGTAGGTCCTGAAATAGCAGACATCGGACCTGTGACTGGTTCTTCGACCTAGCAGTGCTATTTTGGCAGCAGGCCCAGGGTTAAACATAACAAGAGTCATTTTCAGTCCTTGCTCTCCTGAAGGTCAGTGGCCCAAATGGTTGGATGTTTGTCTTAGCCGTTTCCGGACAAGGTCTGCATTTTGTAATGATAAGGCGAAATTCAGAAATCCTCATGCTGGCAAGCTCCTGCTAACTCTAATTAGAAAGCGTGTTTTTCCTGAATAAGGATGTCAGGATTTGGTCATTGGTGATTTTTAATTGTTTTGACTGTTCTGGGCGGGGTGTTCTTTTTGTTGCTGCTATGAAGGCTCACTGCTCCATCTTACCTCCAGTCCATGACTTTCGCAGGATAGGACAGCTCGTTCTTAGCATTAAGCCTAGTTTACCTGAATTGCCCATTGCCAAGTGAGACTCTGAGGTTCATTCATCTGCTCAGCTCACATGGAAGAAGCAGTCTCTCTTTTAGCAACAATTGTGGCTCGCTCTGGCTTGCCAAATGCCTTCTGATATGAGTCTCCTTCTCCTTAAAGCTCCCTCAAGAAGCTATCAGAGAGGTCAGCCACAAATTGGTCCCATTTTTTCTGCCAGACCTCTTCGGCCTTGGCTTTCTCATCCGGTAGCATGGCACTGTATCTGTGAGGAGGAGGAGGAAAGTCAGACAGCAGACAAGGGGGCAGCTATTTCAAGATCAGTGACCAAAATGAAAAGGCAGGAAGCAGCACCAGATTAACCCTTGCAGGACGTGCCTACACCACACAGAGTAACACAGTTTAAAAAGCCTTGAGCTCCTGCCATCTGGGCTCACACTGGGACGAGAAGCGTCATGGCCATGTCAACAGCTACTGAGTCCTGCTCCATGAGGACAAACAGCTCAGTCTGCATAAGCTGGGGACTCGCTGGGCGGCTCTCAGTGACTAGTACAGAAGATAGAGCGCTGCTGTTGCTTTGAGATGTCCCCTGGGCTTGGTCCAAATCGGCAGGAAATAAGAGTATTTGTGGTCTCCCTGGCTATGCAGGGACTTGGGGTTGGCATGAGGATTGGCACGGGATTTGGCAAACAGACAAGACTCTAGGAATGTGCAGAAAGACCCTGGGCGCCATATCCAAAATATTTTGGGACATTCAGAGCTGTCCAGATAAACAAAGTCACTAAACACACCCAAACTACATGCTGGTAGATTGTTTCCCCTGTGGGCCATGGCAAATGCCACAGTAAGTCAAATTTGGGCAGAGAGAGATAAGTGATACAAAGACATAACATCTCTCCCATACCCAGAACCAGGCGCTGCAGGCAGCTTCGCAAAGGATGGAAAAGGAGGCATAAACTGAGACACTGAGAGAAAGCCTCTGGGGTCCCCATGTTCTCCCCTTGGAGGAGACACACAGAGGAGCCTTTGGATTAACAGAAGCCCAGCGGCAGAGGAGACTATGGGGCCAAACCCTGAATAAGGCAGGTTTTCAGAGAGCAAGCTGATAGTCCCCTTAGCATTACTGGAGCTAGATGAGAGATGCAAAGCACTTACTTTATGGAGTTGAGTGCAAGTTGTTTTAAGGTCCTCAGGTCAGCATTCATCCCTCCAATGGCCATGAACACCTCGTAGAAGTCATAGGAGATGCCCTTTGCCCCAAAGATGGGGGGATCATCAGGGCTGATCACAATGGGATGGCCTTCAGCCATGAGGTTGGCTGCGGGATGGGTCCGCAAGTCAGCTACCAACAGCAGGACCTCGGTGGGGGTGGGTGGGAGACAACACCGGATCAGGTTAATTGCTGTAGCCGTGTTTGCATTACAGTACCCATCACGCTGCATACCTGCTATGGCTGCCTGTGTCAGCAGGTATTCATCAGGGAGGAAGAGCCCCCCAGAGGGCTCTTCAGAGCATGTTAGGCATTCTGCTCTGAACTGCTGCAGGAGGAACATACTGTCTCCACTGACTATACAAGAGATTGGTTGCTTAAATTAATCACCTAAATCAAGGCCAATGGGGTGAATAATTTCTGCTTATTTATAACAATTTGACTGTGAGTGTTTCAGGAACAGTCGTTTGGTTACATATGTACCATGACACTTAGCCCAGGGCATCTGGAGCTGGTATCAGGGTTCTCTCCCTCAAGGCTCATGCTGGTAGATCTCTACCCCAGAGCATCCTTCCTGCTGTGCCCAGGGGGCAATGTGCACCACACTAATGTGTTGCAAAAGAGTTCCCCCTGGTTATGAATTCTACAAAATCAAAAGGACTCCTGGCTTTGAAGTATTTTCCATTATATCTCTTTAGGCACCTCCCTTGCTCTGGGTCTCATCCCCTTTAGGGAGGACTGCCTTCCCAGGTTCCTCTGGATAGGAATTTAAATGATTTTGAGCTAACTGGTGCGTGTGTCTACATAGCAGACTGCAGTGTAACGTGGTGCAAAGGAAACTGAGCCGACCCGGGTGCAACAAAACATCCAGCTGACCCCAGTTCCCTGCTGCTCCTAACTACTATGGTAAATCCCATTCCAATGTCCCAGCCCAAGACCTAAGCTTTTACCAACATACCTGGTTGGAGATGGGACAGACCTCTACAGGAATATCCCTCTTCAGAGACAAACTTTTGGCTACTGGGTGTTTAATGAGGGCGAGTCCATGGCCAATCCGGCTGGTATTCAGTAGCAATGCATCCAGCACATTATTGTCTACAGAGGTGCCCTGCCAGTCTAAGCAGAGACAGAATCACTGCAGTGCTGTGAGGAAATATATCTTCTCAAACTGCTAGACAGTTTTGTTTCAGTTGCAAGGTGAGAGAGTTGCTCGTGCTCTGAGTTCCCACTTTGCATTTTTAGTGAAATAGGGATCCAAATCTGCCCAGGACATTTCCCAGCACAGAGATACCCACTCATCTCACCTGGCTTTAAATGTCCACTGTATTGGTCTTACAGCTCAGCTAATCATGGTGGTCTCCATTCATAGTCAATGGAGAGAAGTAATAATTTCTGGGGAATAGCCTGTACCTTAGAAATGCTTGTTACTGTCCATGGCTATAAAGGGAGCCTAGGGTAACGAGTTCAGATGTAGATGTCAACATGCAATACGCATAACACACAAGTTAGACACAACTGTCATGCATGGTTAGGATAAATCCCACACATATGGACTGAATAATATATTGCCAATAATAATACATTGCCCCAAGAATGAAGGGTAATGATCAATTACTTTGATGAGTGTATTCAGTTAAGACTTGAGGCTGTCTCAGACATTCCTTCACCTTAAAATGAAAAATAATGGTTGAAGAATTCTGCTGCTTCTGTGGATGGGAGGTGAGCACTGCTCCAAGGAGGAAATGGCTACCAGCAGTAACTCTTGCAGCATGACTCCATGTTACACACAGGGCAAAGACACTGAGCAACATGACGCCTACAGTCAAGAGCAAGGAGCAGGTAGGGGAGGTGCCGTGTGGGAATGCTACAACAACATGCTGATATGGGGAGAAGCGTAGGGAAAACAGATTATATACACATGTATACGCACACACACATCATCCTGATACAGCCAGGCTTGCTGCTTCAGTGCTTTGCAAGACTTCACCTCTTGCCTCTGGAGGCAATAACAGGCCTTGAGTCCTCATGCTTACCAGTCTCCCCAGCATGGAAGAAGTATGGCAAGTTGACCCCCAGGGAATATGGGATGGTCAGGGCATCCTTCAGGTCCCACAAAGAATGACCTTCATCCTCATCACCAACCTGGGGGAAAGAGGAAAGGTATTTTTGAACATGCTCTGGAAGATGGTGGGACTTACAGCTCTATATTACTGAGGTGCCAACTGTACTGAAATTACAGGGCTGTGGGGTAGGGAGCTGATTCTTTCAGAGGATTTTGTCAATTACCCTCAACTAAATCCTTAGCTGGAGGATTTGCAATTCATTTACACTAATTTCAGTACAGCAGCAGAGGATCTGGCTCCAGTACAAAACATATGCCATATTATACATATTATACATGCAGTTATATCGCACCTCTAGGGGTTAATGCAAAGCCACGGAAGAAATACAGTTACCAGGTCGAAGCCTGCCAGGGTGTCTGGGAAGCGGGCTCTGAGTGCCATGGCAGTGATGATGGCTTCTTTAATCTGGGAAACATTCAGCATCCTAAAGAGCAAGAGAGAGAAAGCAGTGCAGAGGCTCACTCCCACGGGCCTGTCTTCTTTGGGTTTGAGTTGTGAAACGGGGCCCCCAGGGGTATTTCCAAAATGCAAGCTGCTCCTGAATCTGACAACCAGCCTCAGGTCTCCAGAGTAACAGAAGTAGAAATTGATATTACGAAAGGAAACCCCTGAATGACCAGGAAATGCCTGGCTAGACCCTGCTGTCACTTGAGTTGAGGCATGCTTGTCTAAGACTCACTGGCTTTCCCATCTACCAGGCAGGGAGCACAACAGCATGGAGAGAAAATGTTTAAATTTAATTTTTTTTTTCCCTCTCAACTGTTTTGCTGGGAGGTGGGACCGTAGCTGTATTTCAAGAGAGTTTTAAACTTAGATTTCTTCCAGCCCTATCAGACTTCAACATCACAGTGCATTTTGCAGACAAACTCTGTCCATACCCAGGCTGACCAGAGGGAAGCCAGCCCTGAACTGGAAACGGCATCGTGCCGAGCCAGAGTGAGCAAGTGCTGCAGAGAGGTCTGTTATATTTGCTCAGGATCACCTCACATGACTTCATGGCATCTGGCTGACTTGGAGAACAGCCTTGTGCCCGCCTGCGAACAGCAGCACGAACATACCGTACAAAGGCTGCTGGGAGAAGAGTGTTTGCAGGGTCCCACGAGGAGCTTTGCAATGCTGAGTGCCCATACTCGGGCACTGCTCTCACTGCTTCAGCTTCCGCAGAGGAGTATGTCCAGGCTCGGGAAGAGAACGCGCACGGCTTGGACACGCACGCAGCCCTTCCCTTGCTTATTCCCGCACCCAGAGCTCACAGACGCTTGTCTCTCTGGCACGCACCATGAGCTAACCCTGGTCACTTTGCACGTACGCAGACTTATATAGATGATTCCTCATCCTCAGCCTTTTACATGTGCCAGGGAATGCTTTGGGAGTCAACACTCGGGGTCTGACAACGCACATGGGCATTGCTAACCAACGGTGCCACTTCAGCCCGGCTCTCAGCGTTGCTTCTCCTGGAGCCACCTGGACCCCTCTCTCCCCACCACTGCCTCTGCCATAGCATAGCTAGCCATGCATAAGTGCTCTTAGCCTTGCTCAGCCTCTACCTGTGTGCTGTAAATATAATCTTGGCTCCAAGAAAGTCAGGGTGCTCCTTCACAAACTGCTTGGTCACTTCCCGATAGGTTGCCACAGACCATGATTTATTGTGCCGTGTGCCATCCAGTTCATACACCTGCAGGAAAAAAAACACGTGGCAAGCAGAAGTTGGAAGAGGTGTTTTACTGGAGGGAGGGAGAAATGAACTGAAGAAAACTTTGGTAGAAGCAATGTGCTGTGGTCCTGGCAACAGGGCAGAAAAAAAGCAGTTAAATCTGAGGAGAACATTTTCTTCTTGAAGCTTTTACCAGCTGGCAAGAACCAAGGAGTGGTTTTCCTCCCTCCTATGTGATACAAGAAACAAGTTTCTCCATGTTCAGACATGGCAAGCAAGTGCCCTTGAGTACCCAGAGGAGACCATGACCTCTTACTCGTATCTGTATCAAATGCTGGAGCATTTTGTCCAGCCGTCTGGCAGCTCACACACTGTGCCGTGCAGTGGCAGCCTGTCAGCCAAGGCAGCCCCAAGGCACACGAGGGCTGAGCTCCATAAGCTACCAGCTGGGCTGGGCTTCTGCTCCCCTCTGCCAGAGGTTTGCTCCGTGACCTTGAGTCGGTCGTTTAGTCTTGCCACGGTTTGTCTGGCTGCAAACTGGGGAAAATAATCCTTTTGGCATGCTATGTCTCATCAACTTACTTTGTGAGTTCCTCACTACCAGGGCTACATGCAGGGCTTTTGCCCTGATTTCAGCAGGGATGTGGACCTTACGTTCCCTGGTTGATACTAATCCGTAAAGGCCTTGCCTGGAGTTGTTCACAAACAGTGCCTGAAACCACTCTGTTCATTCTGTTCTTATCTTTCTCCTCTTTTTCTCCTTCACCCTTCTCTGCCCTTTAACTGGTCCACTCTACCTCCTCACTTCCCCTCCGGTGCTGCCCGTTCCAGCGATGCCCCTCGCTAAGCCCCCGCACCCCGTCGTGCTGTGGCATCCCCCTCGCAGGCACCGGGAGCTGCGGGGCGGCTGCAGACGCTCAGAGGGAATTTTCCCCTGCTGCAGCCCATGGGAATGTGAGACTTTACACAGCTGAATTTGCAAACACAGCTGGGTTTGGGGGGGCTTTTCCACAATGTTTGCTGTTTTGCACTAAATCCTGACTTTCATTTACTTTACTTCAGGGGTCACTTCTGGCGAGCTTTGCTGCAAGGCAAGCTTTTGCAGAGTGTCAGCGCTGTTGTCCAAGCCTTGTAGAGGATCTCCAGGTACGCAAGCATCTCGCTATTCCCGTCGCACCCTGCTCACCTCAACTTTTGTGGCAAAGTGTTTCCCTTCCCTCTCATCCCCACTCCAGCCCAGCTGACATCTCCCTGCCTGTCCTGCCCATCGAGGCCTGCAGCCCTGTGTGCTCCCAACTCCTCGCAGCCCTCGCAGTGCTACCCAGGCTGCAGGCAGCCTGCCTGCCTGTACCTCGCAGCACGCCGAGCTGCCGGGTGCAGGCAAGCCTGGGGGTTCTGGAGGCTCCCACGCCTGGAGCCAGCATTAGGGGCTGGATGGGAAGCAAATCTTCCC